CAGTTTGGCTGCATGCCAAAATTTTTATTTCCCAATCGTTCAAGGTTAGAATAACAAAATTGAACTTCTGTTTTGAGGTTAGTTAAAATACGTTTAACGATTTTTGCATAGGTTTTCTTGTTAAAATGTAAAAATAAACAATGTAGTCTATATTTGTTTTGGTTTGATGAGAAAAAACAAGTTGTGATTTAAAAAAAAGTTGTTCTAGAGTTTCCTTAAACAATACTTTTGAGACATCTTATTAATATACAGTATATGTTGAGTATAAATACGTGGCAAATAGTTGATGATAAAGTAGATAATTAATTCTAAGAAATATATTAATTTTGTACAAGATGCTGCAAGTTGAGCTTTTCTGAGAACTGCAATTTGTTACCGAAGTTCATTACAACGCAATTCTACTTGAGTTGGAGCTTAAGAGGGTTGGGGTAGTGGTGGCAAAACCTTGGCTGCAACCGCCAGGGGGGTCACAGAATCTTAGCTTATTATATAGCGTGGTTATAAGTCAAGAATCGTTTGATTTAGCGTGTAAAAGTGGAAGACTTTTTCCTTGACATACCTTCTAACAAACATCCATCCGTCTAAACTTTCGCATTTATAATATTAGTAAGATAAAGATTTTCCTAGCATGTACGAATTGAACTTTATTATGTTTCTAGTTCTTTAGAAATAGTAAAACAAGAATCTATACACATTGTAAAGGTAAGAACACTTTTTGTGATTTTACGACGCGTAGTAAAATAGTTTGTCTTGGCGGCTTTCAGTTGGTTTATACGATTCTGTTCGAGTTAAAACAATATTACCAATAGTATCGTAAACGTAATTTTAATCAAAATAAACATTTGGAACGTAAAATTTCGTACAACTTGATTTTTCTCCCATTTTTTATACGAGAAGTGTACACTCGATACGACACCCATGGACATCTACAACAGAGAATGAAAATTAAGAAATAATATATGCAAATGGTAAATCAGTTGTTTAAAATAAGAAATACAATACAATAAAAGACTATTTAAGTTATCATTACATGACTCTGGGTGTAGAAATAAGACTTTAATGTCTCACATAAATCTTCAAGTGGTACAAACGAAACGCTATCTGTATGAATAACTTAAGTTTCAGGCGCAAAAACTTTGGCAATAACAATGGATTATGTCCGATGTTAAATTATTCCAAGCGTTTAAAAAGTTTATCTACAAGTTTCTTGTCAGTTTCCACTGATGAAAACATGCTCAAATAAACGTTGTCATCGTTTGAAATAGAGAAGTTTTTTTCAGTATCTTGGGAAGTGACGGTGACATGGTCAATAAAATTTCCTATATATATAAACACATTTGCAGAAAAAAATATGTGTTTTATTCTCTTACGTCGTAATTCTTAATAAAAAGTGTAAGATTTAAGCGAAAATAATTTGAAACTTCGCTCACAAAGGCGTTAATAATTAAGACTAACAAGACATTTTCAACTTCTAACAGGTCTCTGCCAGATTGTAATTACAACGAAGCCTTTGTAATTTATCTATTGATTACTTTATAAGTTCTTGTTTACAAAGACTTTATAAAACAACTTTGCTCTTGTTTAATTTTAAAACATAATAATATAGTCAATTCTTTAGCAAAGTTTGGAAGTTTTTAATTACATCAATTAGCTGTACAAAGAGCTTGTATATCTTACTAATATGACATATAAATGCGAATGTTTATATGTATAGATGGATGGATGATTGTTTGAAGAAATCTCGAGAATGGCTGTATGGATCTCGCTGAAATTTGGCATAGATGTAGAACACATAGGATACTGGTTAAGTTATTTTTAATACATCTCGGGAGGAGTTGCGGGCGACAGCTAGTATTTACATAAAATACGTTAGCAATAGAGAACACAGCGCATATTAAGTTTCTACCCACAATATCCTGAAGCCTTACATAACGTAATGGCTTTAACTGTCTACGCATATGTTACTTATATTTACTTATATATATATTGGAAATATGCATACTGCTACAATCCGTTTTTCATTGTAAATTTATCTCTAAGAACACCCTTATTAAACACTAGCTTCGACGGCGACTCCGTCCGCGTGGAATTAAAAAAAACTTAGTAAGTAACCTATGTGTTCTTTCAGGCTATTTTCTATATCTGTGAGTTATTTCTGCTGTTTTGGAGTTAACTTCATAATAACATCCATACATCTAAACTTTTGCATTTATAATATTAGTAAGAAGTAAGATTAAGCTTTGAGCAATTATACATTTTCGCTTAGGTGACTTCCATTTGACGACTACAACTCTCTCGTCTCTTTCACATTCATACACACAAATCACCTTGTTAATTATAATTAAAAATGATGTCTAGATGTTATGTTTGTATCAGAAATGCATTGTGGAGCTGCATTCGCATCAACAATGATACTCGACATAGTTGCATAACAACCGCAGCCGAGTGCGTGCGCTGAATGCTAACGAATTCCGGAGACAATCTGCATTTGAATTCTCTCATCTTTGCACTCCATTACTGCGAAATGATTGTCACAAAGCTCGCGTTATTTCACAACGATGGAATTTCAAGATAACTTGTTTTTAACACGTTTGTTTTTAAAATAAGTTTTTAATTTTTAGTCTGTTTTACTGTTTTATGTTACGGCTTAAGTGTTATGTTTTTTTTAATATTAAGAACATTCGGTTGCATCCTAATTGTGTTAGTTGCTTGCTAGTTGTTAGAAAACTCAGTAAATATAATTTTATGTTATTTATATGTTTCATTTGATTTAACACGGTACATTTTATTGATACCGTAGGTTCTTTTATCGAGTTCAACAATAGATCTATTCGGCCGGTAGCTAGGCGGGCCAAGGGCACACGCGTTCCAATAAATGCGACTAAACACGACCAATTATTTAGTTTGCGAGCCATAGCCAGTGAATTAAGGGAGAGGGCGTCACGGTTTGTTGTGATAGTATATAGTTTTTGCATGGTTGTAGTAACTTTAACATTGAGAATAATTCTTCTTACTAATATTATAAATGCGAAAGTTTAGATGGATGGATGAATGCATGGGTGTTTGTTTGAGGGTATCTCCGGCATGGCTCAACGGATCTTGATGAAATTCGGCATCTATGTAGAACATAGACTGGAAGAACGCATAGGCTACTCACTAAGTTTTATTTTTTAAGTTCCACGTGGTCGGAAACACGGGCGACAGCGAGTCTTTAATAAGACTAATTCGAGCTATTCGATTTTTTATGTCTGGAGAATTAAATAGTTAGTAATCAGAAATAGTCATCTTTATAAGATTCTTCTAACTTTATCGGATTCTTCTCATATTCAGCTGGAAGGTATTCTACAAAAGTTGTTCCCGAGGTGACTTCGGCGAAATCTGTACCTACTTCAAAATATTTGACCCAAGTAATCGTTATGAGTGCTTTCATTCATTCCTTTTCATATTTGGAATTTGTTCCGTGTCATGCGTTTAGGTGATATAAATCGGTCTTTAGCTAAAGTAGCTTCGGAAGTGGTGCGACGCCAAGTGACACACTTGTGTAGCGGAAGCGGCGCCATTTGTTAAACGACTCGTTCCGTTTTGTTGGCGAAGTGCGTCGACTGTGTGTATACTTAATTATCGATTCACGCATGACTCACTGACTTCATTTTCTAAGCTATCCATAGCTTATATGTGAACTATCAAAAGTTATATGTACTATCCGAAGAATTTGATAGAACTGGTATAAGTGATCGCACTGATGAAACAAAGCTTTTAATTATCAGGCAGATTATAAGCAGTTTATCATGAATTAATTGATCCGATGTTCATGGATATGCAAAACCAGTGGAACCACACAGAAGACAGGCGTGCAGTGGAAGCAATTCCACGTTTCGTCTGATTAGTGTGCATCCCGGAGGCCTAATTTAGTCCTCTTTCCCTTCCCACCCTTTTTCTTATAAGGAAAAGATGGGAAGTGGAAGTGGACTTTCCGGATGAGAGGATGCAAGGAAAGAAAATATCTTTTCTTTCTGTGCATCCTCTCCTCCGTTGATCAAAGGTAATTGCGTATGTCTATGGGCAACGGTCACTTTGCTATTTCAGCAATTTCTGGTGGCTGCTCGCTCGTTTGTCACCTTATGATTAAAAAAAAACAAACTAACGTCCTTTGTGTAAGACCCCTGAACATTATTCTAAATTATAAAATGTTATTTCAGTAAGTTTCGTAAAATCTTTACTATAAAGATATTTAAACAATTATTTATACGGTTGCAGGCCAATCTATCGTAATAAATTGGATAGAACACCGCACAGCCATTTGGTCAGTATAATTGACCGTTTCATTTGATCCAATGGAGCGTTGCATTGTTCATTTACCAGGTGTTTGATTGTTGTGACGTAATGGAATATGAAATTAGAGTTTTGTCATGATGTTTATCTTGTTTTATAGTCACTGAGGGAATATTCCAAAATATATTTTTAAAATAAATTATAATACTTGTTGAATTATGAGTAATAATATATTAGACAATCTTAGAATATATGACAAATTAGTGAATGTAAAGAGGCGCTGGATGGATTAAATTAACACATTTTTGCGTACACCATCACTTTCCGCGCGATAAATTAATTTGACACAAATTTGACTGATTTATGTCGACGTTGAACATCAGCATCGTCTCGAGGAATTATTATTCAATCATAGAGATTATTATAAGTATAAAGAAATAGACTCTATGTACTAAAAGACGATGGTCTTTTGATGCTGTGTGCTACATACTGTGTGTGATACATACTAATCAGAGACAATGTATATACTTAATATAGTCCAACCTGGAAAAGCGGGAGTCCAAGGGACCGTGATATTTTTCTCGCTCATGGAGGTCATCCGTCGGAACTGGACAATAACTCTCGCTTATTGAGATGAGATTCCATGCTATCCAGGCTGGAAGATAGGTAAAAGATAAAGTAGCATATTTAAAAAAAATATTTTTATTTGAACTATGAATTGTTTTCAGCTGCAACGGGGTCAGTCACTGTACATTTATTCTGAAGAAAACACATCCACCGGCGGCTGATTGGTCCCACGGCATCGTGCATGTCAAATATTCTTGCCTCGATGGTAAGTAGAAGTAATATTTTTTTTTTATAATGTTAATTAAAAATAGAGATGGTTCGATACTTTATACATACTTCGGAAATAGTCTATGACTTATAAATGGAATTCCTACACCATAGAGAACTCTACCAGACCGGTATTTTAGGTTCATATAACTAAAATCTTATTATTATTATAATAGCGTATGTTTGGATGGATGGTTACAACCTATCTCCAAATGGTTGCATGGATCTCTCTGAATTTGGCATAAATGTAGAATATATCCCGGAAGAACTAATACTAAACATGCATTTTATAATTCCGCGCGGACGGAGCGGCAGGCGAAAGTTAGTTAAATAATAAATTATGATAAAATGCCGTTATCAGACACAAAACAAGCGCTAGTCGGTAAAATCAATCGAAGTCGGCTAAACATTGCAGCGGGCAGCGCACGTGCCGGCACTGACAACGTCCCGTCGCGTCGGGTACACTACCAAACCTGGCCCTTCGCACATACTAATGTACTTCGTGGCATAGATCCTTGGTAATGATATTTCTTGATACGTATCGATGTGCCAACTCCCATGGAAACCTCGCACGATGGCCAAATATGATAGGGTTTTACTAGTACTAAGAGGACGTGTAGAATTAAAAACATCACTATTTTTGTTAGTTTAATAAATATTTACAACTATAACTTAACTATTAAAAGACTTAACTTTACTTTAAATCTACAACTACTTTAAGTAGCCTATATATAATCGTAGTAATATTATAATATTTAAGTTTAGATTGATTGACGGATGGATGTTTGTTGCAAGGTATCTCCGGAACGGCTCAACGAATCATGATATAATTTTGGATATATGCAGAACACAGTCTGGAAGACACATAGGCTATTAGTTATGTTTTTTTTAATTCCTCGCAGATGGAATCGCAAACGCAGTTTGATTCTAAATAATTAAAACTTATGAATCATTTTAAAATAAAAGAACTAAACGAGTATAAAAACAAGATTATTTAAAAACATTCATCGTTGACTGGAAAGAAGTTAACTCAAACAAAAGAAATAAAATGTTTAGATGAACGAACAACTCAAGCATGTTGTCTTAATTGCTTAATCAATCCAATACAATCTATTAGTCTATTATAAACAATCAATAAAATTTGTTTTAATAAAGATTAATTAAAACACATTGTTGTAACTATTTTATTGGAAACTCGATCAATTGTACTTGGACTTTCCGTAAGCTACGCGCTACGGCTGACTACGAATCAGTCTTTCTAGTAAACTTTATTTCGTTTTATTTAGTATCGCGTTAGCTCTGGTAGGGGGAAGATGTGTCGTTTAATTCTCTCTAAACGCGCGTGTTTACTTACGAGAATATTAATAAACTTAAAAAGTAATTTTATTTCCGAGTAAATTATTTATTATGTGTCCTAATAATGTAGTTTTTTATTATGTACATTTAATTTATTTATATGTTGAATTTATATTGTAAAATGTTGGAAAAGGATGTGAATTGGAAAAAATGTTGAAAGCGTCCCGTGCGAGGTGGACGTGCTTTGTTTTGCAGTTTTTTGTCTTGCATTTGTTCGGTGCCAGAGGATTAATAGGTAATTGGGATCAGATAATTTTTAAACTAAAATGTGTTCTATTTGTTTAAATATTGCCGTAGATTACCACTACTGAAATATACTCTACAAAAACATATTGTCATACTCTTTGAAATCACATATTAAAAAACAGTTACATATATAAGTAAAGTATGTGTAATTTGTTTCAAATTGCATTAAGTAGGTTGACGAAGGCTTCTCAGGTGATATGTAGAGCGTCGGTTTACCGCATTATAACTACTTGACATAACAGGGACGTTTACACGAAACGAACGAACAAAATGCACTGTACTCTACTTGTGATAATTTTTATATTTGAAAATATTAAATAAAAATATATAGATCATTTATATGGCATAGTAGCTGTCGCCCGCGACTCCGTCTGCGCGGAATTAAAAAAAAAACAAATTTAGTAGCCTACGTGTTTTCTAGACTATGTTCTATATGCATGCTAAATTTACTCGAGATACGTTCAGCAGTTCTAGAGATACCTTCAAACAAACATCCATCCATCTAAACATTCGCATTTATTTTATTAGTAAGATTTGTCTCAAATGTATAAGTGACTAAAAATATTGTCTTTGTGTTTTCTTTAAAAAATGACGCTACAATATGTAAAAGGCAAACAAGACGACTTAGTAAAAGGTAGTTGAAATATATAAAAAATAAATATGAATAAATAATAATAACAGTGTAATAAAAATGAGAGTTAAGGCACGCTCGGTCGTATCCCGGAGGGCTTTATACAAATTTGAGATCTCAATATGACACGATCCAGGAACACTTCAGTTTTTCACTATCAAGGACACCATGTATATACGGGTACAATTAAATTTTATGTTATAGTTAAAATGATAAATACAAAGTGTTAATAATATTTTAATAAAAAATAAAATTTTATAGTAATAGATTTTTAAATTAATTGGAAAACGTAATTTCGTATAGAAATAATCAATTTATTAAATAATAATAATCTATACTATCTATAATACTAACATGTCTATATATACTATTTGAACTCCGTTATTTGCATACCAATGTCATCATCATCAGCTCACTATACTTCCACACTGTAGGGCTTGGAGCCTACCCTGAGACACGGGTGACTAGGCCATAATCAACCACACTGGCCCAGTGCGTGTTGGTTGACTTCCCACATATTATTGAATTTGTTCTCAGATATGAGCAGGTTGCACCACGATGTTTTCCTTCACTGTAAGAACGTCGGATAAATGTACATATGTAAATCTGAAATCGAAAAACACATTTGTACATGGCAAGATTCGAACCCAGGCCCTGCAGATTACAAGTCAAGTGCTTGATCCCTGAGCCACCGACGCTCTCCAACACGACCAATGTAATACAAACTTCAATTAGACCCTTGATCACTGATCTTAATAAATTTCCATCACTCACATTCTCATCTATCGTGACTTGATAAAATAAACAAAAACTACCAACAGGTGTCGCTATTACATAACTTTAATAACTCAATTAAGGGACATATATCCCCTGTATTGTTATAACTCCTCATAAAATTCTATAGATTATTATTTCATGTGCCATCTATTGCGTCGTCACTAAAAGGGACATTTTTAGGGCCACGATAGGGAGAAATATTATTAGAATGACTGCATTATTGAGGGTTTCATATTGTGTTTTGAAGTTTCTCAACACAGATGTGCGGTTATAGTTACATTTGATACTGTTTACGTGTACGAATGATTTACTTCGTTTTGTTGTATTAGAGCAAGATATTTGATTTATTGAACTACAGTTTTTATTTGTTTAAATGCATATGCACTGAGAATCGGAAAAATCTATTTGTTTGATGTTATACTATTTTATTTACAGTGGGTTTCTGAGACTAAAATTCTTGTATAAAATATATCTATCTTGTTGAAAAAACAGATATAAGAATACATTTTAGAAGGGGATCTTGGTCTCGAAAACCCTTGATCAGTCCTCCCTTGGAACCTTGACTGTTTTTTTTGTTAACTCTTGATGAGACTTTTAAAGTCATTGTTATTGTGTCAGATAAAAGATGGCACTATCTTTTGTTTTCTATAATTTTACATAAAAACAAAAGAAAATCTAAGAATACTTTCTTACGTAAAGTTCAATGACTTACAGGGTTCACGCCTACCAATTTGTTAGCTGCCATTCAAAAATTATGTTAACACGATTTTAAACCATTGCCCACCGTTACCTATACTAAAGTGGCTATAAAAAGCACACATCGTTAATCATAATAACTGCAGAATGTTGTTACCGCCCAGTGAGGGTCACTTCACTGTTTTTGATTAATTATACTTAAAGCTTTTGAATAAACACGTGTTTATGTATTTTTTATCTGCTGTTAATCGTTATTTTATGTTTGTTTTAATTTTTTATTTGAGGTTATTTTATTTGATATCAACAGGCATCTTTATTGACTTGATCTTATGTTTGTTACTTTCATTAAATAATAATCAAATAATACAGTGTTCAGAAAAATGCAAAATAATCACTCTAAAACGTATTCTATAGAAGTCCTTTGCTCCTTAACTAAGTTAAGGAGTCAAGGCAATATTGAATACTGTAAAGATATAATAGTATGTAAAGATTTTTATTTATTTTAATTTTAATTTGAAGGTCTATAGATAGAAGGATATAGAGCTTATAGGCAGATCTTTTTTGCTCTTGCATTGACTGCAAAATTTTTCTCGCTTATAGAAGTTTCTCTCTAATCCAAGTTTCTCGCTCATGGAGGCTATCCGTCGGGATCCGATAATCGCTTGCATTGGTTTCTTGCTTATCCAGGTTCAACAGTATAAAAAAATAGCTGTTGAAAAAAATTTATCACGCGCAAAATACATAAAAAGTCTTTGGTTGTTTTTAAAAACAAAAACACAGTGTTGGTAGCAATTATAAAGTGAGATGTCAAAACCAGCACCACCATCTTCGGTTAGTATTGGTGTCACTTGAGCGCGTTCCGACTCTCGACGACACGATGACTGCCGCGTCACTTGCGACTTGCCCTTGTCTGCACCTTAACAAACAAGTTAACAAGTAAATATATAACTTTGAAAATATATGTAGATACCCCTTAACACGTTCATAGTCACCGGCATGGAATGTGTTAACAATTACATTGTATAGATAGATTGATGATTAACAGTGGGTTTTCGATACCAAAATCTCTGTTTAAAATAAACAGTGATCCCTGTTATTATTTTTGGCAAAACAGAGATAATAATACGTTTTAAACATTAGATTTTGGTCTTAGAATCTCACAGTAAGTAGTCTTATTTGCAAATGATAGAAGAACTGTTTAATAATGATTTTTTTAAACGGTTTAGAAGTATTAAAGTTTCATTTACTTACTTTGATTTTATTAGAAAAGAAATCTACACACTATGTAGCATTTTGTTTTCATGCCGAGGAATCGTTTTATTGATTGATATGTTTAAAAAGTGGGTCGTATTTAGATAAACGTTTCCATTAGCACACGACACGAGAATACAGTTTCTAACATCACGATTAACAGTTCAACTTTAAATTTTGAGAAATAAACAGAGTCTATTTGTTTCGACGGACGTTTAATTTAATTTATTTTTAATGTATACATTTTAAAAAAGATTTTTTTATTTTTTCATTTTAATAAAAATTTCAAAATGAAGACTAAGTGACGTACTCAGCGTAGTGTGGCTTTTAAATTTTTCCATATTAGTTCTTTTGAGTCCATAGAATCAATGGGGTCAGTCCATCGGCAAACAACCGTTAAGTAGAGGTAGTAGCAAAAATCTATACTAAGCGTAATCACTAAATAAATATAAGTTTTGCAATAAAACAATGGATACGTGCTGATCTAACACGACGCGAGTACACCCTTGATTTAGGTAGGGCTGGACCCCTCTAAGAACACTTATGTATTTGTAAGGCGAATTGATTTTCTCGTATTCCCTCTCAAAAAGCAAGCTATCTTGTGATGACTATATTGTTTCACGATTGCATAGTTTAAAACGTGCATTAGCAAACATGAAAGAAAGAGATATAGTTAGTCTATAGGTAGAAATTACAGTGACCTTAGGTCGAGTGCAAGTCGAAATAACGGTGTTTAACTTGAAATTATTTTGAGTTATTTTTTTGTTTTAAATTTACTTTTCTTTTTAATTTAAATGTAGACTTAAATATTAAGATTGTATGTATGTTTTTTAATTGAAATTTAAACCACATCGTTTTTCAATTTTTTTTTTTGGATTAAATATTAATTCGGTTCCTTGCCTCCGCGTGATTTAACACGTTAACACTTCACGTTAAAACATGTGCAACTATTTGTCCCTATTTTATTTGCATTGCTATCAATAAGCGCAGGCTCCTAGGATGTTTTGAAAGCCCTCAAACGTCACCATATAATCAGTACCAGAGTGTAGACGTGGTTAACGCAAAACGGACACTATTCCATAACTTTAAGGCTTAAAATTGTTTGTCCTTAAAGTTTCGCTAATACCCAGGATTAGCTGAGAAAGACCAATTTAATCGGAACTATGATTTTCCCAATGTTCTGACTGTAGAACTTTGACAGGGTAGGTCAGTGTAGCCTGGTGATTGTTGACAAAAGGAATTTTGTTTTGACCGGTTGCCATGGTAATATTTGGGTTAAATTGCAAATACAACGGGCCCGGGTACAGACGGGATATATTTGAGGCATAATAGAGAGAAAAGGATAGAGATATTTGTGAGTGAACGCATTACGTAGTTCTCATAAAAAGATCTTTTTCTATTGAAACATTTCAATAGGTTTGAAGCATCAATATTGTTCTAAAGTGGTAGAGATAAATATAAAATAAGCATTTAAAATCATATAACTATAAAGGTTTATAAGTGGTTTTGGATTTTAGTCAAAATTAAATTTGGAGTGCTCCTGTAATTTCTTTTAGTTTCAGTTAAATTCATTACATATTTAAATGTATTTTTATTTATAAAACACGTTGCGTTGTATCTTACAAGCTTAATGTAACACAAAGTACGCGACAATATTCTATGCATGAACAATAGTCCGTGCGGGCATGCGAGCCTTGTGAATTAAATACATGGCGGTAAAGTTGCTTTCTTTTGTTGTCATAAAATATTTACGAGCTTATTCCTAACAATCAAAATACGCAACTGTTGCACAAGGTTTGTAGGATTTTTATAAATATTTTTTATTTTTATTTGTTACTTTTCAATCTGAAATATAAATGCGAATGTTTAGATAGATGTTTGTATGAAAGTATCTCGAGAACGACTGTATTGATCTCGTTGAAATTTGGTACAGATGTAGAACATAGTCTGGAAGAACACATAGGCTTCTCCTAAGAGCTCGGTGACCTCCCAATCCGGTAATACTAAGAGCTCGGTGACCTCCCAATTCGGTAACAATAACGAAGTAACAGCCTGAGCCAAGGCTCCTGAGGGAGCCCTCGAGTCTTGTTACTCTTAAACGAGATTTAGGCTAAGCGCCATCTACGCTCGACCACTTCAAGCCCGGTGAAGCTGTAAATGCCTGTTCAAGGCAAACAGTGACTACTAAGTCACAAAAAAAGCATAGGCTTCTAATTAGCTTTTTTAATACCGCGCGGACGGTGGAGGGACTGGCGTTGCCATAAAGTTTGATATTTGCAATACGATAGACTGCGATAGATAAACCAAAGTATGGAAATTTAAATGTCTTATTGTTGTTAACTAAACTACAAGTACAAGTAAAATACAATAAAGAAAGTCATGCTAATAAAAGAAATAACCTAAACGCGGGTAACATAAAATATATTTATTTTTTGTTTGCTCTCAACAAAATTAAGTGGGGCGCACCTAAACGATTTATGGTCTAGCCCTTAGAAGTCGTAATTTATCGATCCCCATCGGGATTAACTCATAGCTTTCTGTTCGCATGTAAATCTAAATACAGCACGTTGTAAATTCTAACAGAGTTACAATTAGATACATTTTAATAGTACAAACATAATTAGTGCCACTTTAGTGATTTACTGTAATAATATGTCTTCGGGTAAAGATGAATTGTAAGATTAGTGTGGGTTAATTTAGTTGTTAAGGGGTTGCTTTAAATTTTAATGCGAACTAAATTATTTAATCCTAAATAATTTAGTTTTGTATATCATTGATGTCTCAATAATAAATACACCAACATATTTTTTTTTTTGTTTTTTATTATAATAGAAGGGGGCAAACGAGCAGCGGGAACACCGAGGTGTTCAACGACGCCCATGGACATCAGCAATACCAGAGACATAGAAAGGCTCTAAAGAATGCTTTTCAATAAAATGTAGTCGAACCTGGATAAGAGAGAAACCTCTGAGCGATAATCATAGTCCGATTCCGATGGACGACCGCCATAAGCGAGAAAAATATCACGGTTTTTTGGACTCTCGCTTATCCAGGTTCGACTGTACATACAGATTAGCTGCAAGTACCTATATTACTATCATTCACTTTTTATTTATTCCGTTGTTTTCAATCTTTCCCTAAAAGGATTTTTATGTAAAGTACCTTAATGTTCTTCTGTTTTTTTTTCAGAAATCGTTGAAGAACAACGTTGCTATGACAGCGAGATTCGTATGACATGTCGCGAACTTGACAGTCACATAGCGATATTAGAAGCTTGGTACACATCTTTAGAAGACTACAACAGAGATCTGAATACAGAGAACTATACTATAAAGACTGAAAACGATTCAGAGTTAGACCGAGTGTATGTGTACTCTAGTCCTAAACATAACGGTGTGTATGAACTAACGAATCATTCAATCAATGTGAATGAGGTGAACGATACGGGAGTGACGGAAGTGAACGATACAATGGATACAGTGGACATGACGGTTGAATTTGTGAACGGTAGTGATGTGTGTAGCTTGCTTTCGTATACACGGAGCTATGCGAGCTGGCACGACGACGGTAGACGACGGCGTCCCCTAGCGAGGCCCACGTCAATCAACCTGCGTCCACCGCTCAGTTATCGGTGAGTTATCTTTGATCTTTGATAACGCTAAGTACAATCGCTTGTGTTAGTAAGGTACACTTATATTAATTAAAGCGCCAGTCTAACGGTTGTAGTCTGTCGAAATATTTTATAGAATTCGAATCTATATTTTGAATGCAAGAAAAATGTTTACAAGGTTATAGGTTACATTTGACATTTAGTTAGTTATGTTGGCCTACCTTATGAGCCTCTGACTAAATGTCGAACACTCTTATAATATATAGATGCAATGATTATTAAATATTTAAATGAAGCAAAGTGGTATTACACCAAATGGGCAATCGTTAGTCAATTATTTAATTGTAAAGGGTCAGCTTAATTTACATACGATGTGCGTACAAAGTTCGTCATAAAATTACCCAATTACGGTGCAAAGGGCCGGTCTTATAACGGTTCATTCGACCTCTTTGTAGCTGACGGCACCAATCTTGTTTATAGATGTAATTCGCTTTGATTAGCTTGTAAGATGCTGTATCCAACGCCTAATAAATATACAAACAATCATCATTATCTCACTGCCGTATCCCATTATTCAAATGATTGAACTATCCAAACAGGACTTGTGAAGATCGAGAAAGTCTCAAAGAGTTCATGTTACTGAACAAAACAACTCAATACTGTAATTTAGCATAAGGAATGTATGCAAAAAATATACGGACCAAGAGTCTGTATATGTCGTTCGTTCTAAAAAAACTTTGGAAACAATGGTAGATTTTTTTTTATTTCTATTCAAAATTAATAATTAAGGCCATCCATACCGTAGTTAATAAATTATCATCACGTAAACTTTATTTACATAATTATAGCATTGATATCTCGACTTACCAAACAAATAACCACAATTGATGCATTTCACACGTTACACTTCGTTTCTCGCTAACCGGCACTTTATTAGTTCATTAAAAAGGGAAAACCTCATCAATATATCATTAAGAAGTCGACTAGATCGCTTTCATTCAGGGCTGTGTCGTCGCTTTCTAGAGATAACATAGCATTGTAGGGCTGCCAACTTTCAATTAATGTAAACCAGAATAGCGATGAAAAAGACGGCCATTGATTTGTTAACTCTTAACTCCAAAGCAGATTAGAAAAAAATATTATTCAATACCTGGTTTTATACTACCAACTTTAAACTAATAGATTGTCAAACTAAATACCACTCACTGTGAGCCTACTATCCCAAGTGATAGGTGACTGGGCCATAGTCAATCACGCTGGCCAAGTGTCAAAGTAAATGTGCCCTACTCAAACACAATTCGAGTCTGGAAAAGGTGACAACCCTAAGCACGTGTCTTATTAATAACCATATGCATTGACTTGTACGTCATGTTTAGGGTTATCACATATTTGGGACGTTGAGATTAGAGATGCAATTGTTTTTGGGCCATTGTCTACAGACATTGTTGATTTGCGTTAACTTTGTGATATGATTTATTGCTAACTGTTATTGTTTAAGATTTTTTTTTTTATTTCATAACATCGATGATAGATTACGTATGTAATATTAAATATATTGACCGTAGGTTTTTAGTTGTAGAAGTTGGAATATTGAATTTGATTCATGATTATTTTATCGCTTTCGAAGTTTCTTAACTATAAAATACTGTTTTAGTTATAGAACGTGTTTTCTTACTAATATTATAAATGCGAATGTTTAGATGGATGAATCAATGTTTGTTAAAAGGTATCTCCAGAACGGTTTAACAGATCTTAATGAAATTTGGCATAGATGTAGAACATAATCTGGAAGAATACATATATACTATTAAGCTTCACAGACGGATTCGCGGGCTACAACTAATATTTGTATAATTTATCAATTTATTCATGTGTATTCCATTGCTTTTAAATAATTTACGCTTATAACTTTTATGTTTACGTGATTGGAATGCAAACACACTTTCAATTCATGCATTTAATATTAATGTTTTTTTATGTTAATATATCTACTTTATTGATAGTTTACATTTAAAATGACTTTAACGAATATAAGGAATCCGACATTTTGATAAAGAAATTTTAAAAGCAGGTAAAATTATTTTGAATAAAAAAATTAAAAAGTTCTTACCAATTAAAGATTTTTTTTTAAATTTAAACTTATTTAATACAAGAAAACAAACAATCAAATCTATCTTTGTATTAATATAGATGAATGTAATATTTGGTCTGATTGAGTTATTTCCTTGTCCACGTCTTTGTCAAACAACTACAATCCTCATCAATTCTTCGTATTGGCTCGTGTATTTTTGGCGCCAACAATGACGTAACTTTCTGTCTGGATGTTCCAATGTCGAATGGTAGATTGACTATGATATGTTGTCACTATTTCGGTGTTTTAAAGTGATTGTAGATGAGTGTTACTATTATAATTTTGAATAATGGCCAATACTAAGAAAAAAATAATAAGAGTGATTCAGACACCCAAAGTTGGCCTTGGCCTCTGCCTAAATACATCTTACTTCTTACTAATATTATAAATGCGAATGTTTAGATGAATGTATGGATGTTTGTTTGAAGATATCTCCAGAATGGCTCTACGGATTTTAATTAAATTTGACACAGATGTAGAACATAGTTTTTAAAACCATATAGGGTACTTATTAACTTTATTCTTAATTGCGCGCGGAGGAAGTCGCAGGCGACAGTTAGTAACTTTATATTTTCATTTTATGATAATCAAATAACTGTCCTAACTACAACTACAGCTAATATACATTTCTGAATGCGAAGTAAGCAATTCTCACTTCAAAACAATTGACAGGCAGACAATCTTATCCATTACGTGGTTATCAAAGAAACAGTTGAAGCGTTTAATATAAAGGAGTCATTGAATATCAAACAAGATAGCTTGTGGTGGTTGACCTATAATGGACTGTAAATAGACGTCAGCTAATGAAGCATTTGTTAAAGATTTATAGCGATCGTGGTTAGCGAGCGAGATCAGACGAAAGACGGATTCATTCAATCTTATCCTAGTTTCACACGAGTACAGAACAGTAGAGTACAGTAGGACAGTAAATTACTGCTATCATTTAAAACACACCTACTGTTGTAACAGTACTAATTTGTCTTGATCCTTTGATTGATCTACATTGGTTTGGGTAAGGTTTTTAAAAAAACACATTTTTAAACAACGGACCGCAAGTTCATTAAGGCATCTAACAGAGCCCACCGTAAGTTATTGAGTAGACTTTAGTTCACCATGCTGCCCAGTGCGGCTTGGTAAAATGACTTTGGTAAGTCAGGAATCTCATCTTTCTATTCAAAGGTATTTCGTACTTCAAATCTCTAAGAAGCAAAGCATTTATGATTAACTTTAATTAGTTGTGACACCGTTATTATTCGCTTCGTTGCGTAAAAATATCTCCCACGGTTGATAATAGAAGGTAAAGTAAATCGATTCTTTAAGCCTCTATTGGATTATTCGTGTCGTAAACGTTAGAAGCGAAGCCTCAAAGAGGTGACAACAATGACTCGTTATCTGTCATGGTTCGTCACGCTGTGGTGACTGGATTAGGAATTGGTTAACAAATGAATTCAATGATTAAAAGCTCATTTCCATAGTATCTTATTGGAAACACTTCCTTAAGAAAGCGACAAGCCGTAACTTTCTATTATACAGTTTAGATTAGTCGTATTATACAGTGTAGAGTAGAAGTATTAGCTATTTCTTTTTAATTTCATTTTATTAATGGTCGAAATTTTTTCATATATTTGAGAGCAACAAGCTTGCGAATGAAACATTTGACACAGATGAAGAATATAGTTTGGAAGAACAAATGCTACTTATTTTTGTTAACACCAGACAAATTCGCGGGCAATGGCTAATATAATTAAAAAAAAGATATTAAAAAACCGTTTACATTCATTCATACAAATGGTCCAACATTAAAAACAGTTGGCGCGATGCCAACGCAAATGTTTGTGGAAGTTTTAAAACTAGCAATCTTTGTTCTTCGCAGAAGGAAGTCCACGTTATCTGGAAATATAGTCTGCCACTGAAATAGAAGTTACAAGTCCGACGGATTTACGCGCGGGACGTAGAAAAACAAACAATCAAAGCGAAGTTCAAGAACAATTGTTTTATAATAGCTACGCTTACATTATTTTCACAGTGACGTGAACAGGACATTGCAGTACTGGAATTGGACGCACATTGCCGAGACAGAACACTACTGTTTTGTTGCCCCAAGTTGGCTCGGGGCATACCTAAGTTAGGTGTGACTAGGCCGTAGTCAACCACGCTACCCAGTGAGGATTGGTTGACTCCACACATATCTTTGAATTTCTTCGCAGATATGTGCATCGCGATGTTTTCCTTCACCGTTAGAACGTCGGATAAATGTACATATGTCAAAAATAGAAAAAACACATTAGTACATGGCGGGATTAGAACCTGTAGATTACAAGTAAAGTGCTTAACCCCTTGAGCTACTGACGCTCTTTTTTGATAGTAAGTGTTCAATAGTTGTACTGCACGGTCTATTATTCTGCAACATTTATCTGCCCTGAAACTAGTTTTAGACAGTAAATCTGCAAATGATTTAGTAACAAGGATATGTTATTTAAAAAATAACTCTAAGTTTAAAACACATTCCGTAAGACGAGCGAAAGGAACTTGAGACTCAATTACTGATAATGAGGTGCCTTGTCTCGTAGATATATGGTTCAGTCATCGAGTCAGAGGAATCGATTACAATCAAGGAAACTGATCTGTGGAGATGAATAGCTACAGGATATTTACTACCCTACTGTAGATAAATGATGAAATTTAAATGCACAAGAGACGTTACTTTTATCTATACATATAAATAAAATTGGATTGTCTGTGTGTAATATTGAAAAACAAATCATATTGCGTACAATTTTTTTTTTTTTTTCTTTGTATATCTGTCCGAAAGACCGCGTTTTTCTGGATAATATCTAGACCGGCTGGAACGGCTGATGCACGCGGGCATAATATAGTTTACTTTTTTTTT